AAAGATCATTAGTGTCAAGGGTTGTTGGTAACATCAAGGATACAATATCTTCCAGACACTATAGGCCACTTGCACATATAAATTCAAGTAGATTGTGATAACATGCAAATGACCTGTGTAAAATCCAGTCAGAAAATACCCAGCATACGGGGAATACAATGAGTCCAAAATTCTATACTAGCTGATAAGCTGTTATCATTAGAAGGCTCTTGGGGGAGGATGAGTTAGCTATCTTTAATGAGCAATCCACGATAGGCTAAAGAGATACAAGGGTGGGATTCACTGCCATGAAAAGCTGGGCAACTAAAAATGAACTCAATGGGGAAAAGGTGCAAAAAAGAGTTAAGTCTCAAAGTTTCATGGAAAGGTCTGAGAAAGTATAGAGGGATGTTATGGGAGGACTTTGAGAAGGGGATGAACATGTTCATTATACAAAATTCTGTAATTATATAAAATTATCAAAGAATTAATAAAAGTGTTGTTAAGAATAAATTAGCAAAGATGCTAAGCAGATGACTGTTTTTTTTATAGAAGATCTCCCTGTTTGGGATATTACCACAAGTATTTGTTTCATACACTGTTGTCTCAAGACAGATTCACAAAACTTTAGAAAACAAAGCATTATTATTAATATGTAAATATAAAAGAGGAAGAAATTACTTATACGATGATGAATTATTTAAAACCAAGGTGCTATCCTTGGTTCAAGTAGCTGTGCATATAATATGAAGTCACCTTTGAGGAGTGAAAATTTGATACCAAGTGTTGCTTAATTGCCTCCTTCAAACAGAACATCCCCTCTCTAAGTGGAGTTCATGGGACTCTGGAAAGTGATTATGTACAAGTCTCAGGAAGCACCTGAAATTTACAGGCTTTACAAGGCTGGTCCGCACAGTTGTCTAAGTAGTGAGTAGTTGCTAAGAGACAGGAGATGCTCTGGTAGAACTGCTTACAGGTTGGATAGGGTGCTCTGGGGTTCAGCTTTCATGCTGAGGTAGACTTCTCAGTGTCATTGTAGGATCTGAGACGTCAGATCTTTTATAGAAAACTCTAAACAACTCAATGGTTCACCAACATAGATTTGGATAGAATGGCTTCTTTGGTTTGTCATTAGTTTCCTATCCGGGGTGAATGGATGTTTCTTCTTCATAGCTCTCAAAGCAGTCACCCAACAGCATCTAATTCCTATGATGAAGTCTATTAATATAAACACAATCTTCTGATGCTGTATTTGAAATTGGCAATGTTCACTAGAATTTATAAACCTTACTAGGCAACTCTAGTTTATAGTCGTGTTCTTTTGAATATGTACTTACAAATCTTTGCATGCAAAAATGATGATTAAAAGATGTGTTCTATTCACTTATTGATAGAATTCACACAGGTTGTGATGTTTTGTTATAGCAGCCCAAAGAGACTAACGGTGGTTTTGGTGTGTGTATGTCTGTGCTTAAATTTCTCCATTTCATATCTATGAATTGACCTTGGATTATGTTCTATATAGGAACACATTCTAGGGACTGCAGGTTAAGAAATTAACCAATAATATAGTCCTTGTGTTTAAAATTTGTTTTACTTTACCATTAATACTGAGTTAAAACTCAATTATGTAAATGATTGAAAACCATTACTTTAATAAGGTAAATAAATTAACAATAAGGAAAAATAAAAAAATTCAAGTTTATTATCCTAATTGCCGCTAACAATTTCTACTAACAGCAATATAGAGTTACTGCTATTCATTGGAAGAAAGTGGGGTAGGTTATTGGTTCCAATAAAAGCCATCGTTTTCTTGAGAGTCTTATAAGGAAAAACATGGTAGGAGGTTATTTAGTATTATGTTGCATTAAAACAGGAGAAAAGTAGAAAGATAAATGAACTATTCCTGTGGAAATGAACTATTCCTGTAGAAATAGGATAGCTTAACAATTTTCTAGGGGAAGTAGGGGGTGAAACGTAGAGGTTTTTCTTGATGAGACAAGGAGGAAGGACTGCAGACATCAGTCTGAATCTATCGTTCCATTTGATTTCTACATGAGCATAAGCTTGAGATATGAAAGGCATTTTGCATCCAGAACCCAATATCTGGAAAAGTCGGCGAGATAACCGTTTCCTTAAGATCCAGTGCGATCATCCTGCAGTGTTTGTATTTGGAAAACTTCATAATAATACACTGAGTTCTCATAGATGCTGACCTGGATACCACTGATGTCTGAACATATTGATGTGTGTCACACACAAAAAAGTATTTGTTAAGGATTCAGGTTTAAAAATACTATATGTTAAAATATTTTAATGCTGAATTGAATTAATAATTGACCCCTAACCCTAAAGCTTCCCATAGCCATAAAACATGGTCCTTTCAAAATGTATACTACCTCATGGAAAACTGGTTTTAATTTACTTCTCCTTGAAAGACCTCTTTGAGGGTATTTGCATTGTCAGCAGCTTAAATTGACCACAGAAATGATAACTAAATAATTTAGAAAATTGTAAGATGATTTAGGCATTTAAGATGTGTATAAGGTAATTAAAACCAAACCTTAGGAGGGTTAAGGCCACACTGCAGTTGGTTATTCTGCAGCTGGGGTCACTGCCTACACTGTACAAAGGCATATGTTCAATTTACAGTTGTAATGAGGAACATGGGGTGTTTTGATTCTTCATTTGCTGTGCTCATCTCTAGAGGATGCAATTGCCTGCGTTTAAAAAATGCACATAGGCTCTTTTGTGAAGGGCAATAAAGTTGTGTCAAATAATACATGTCACATGCATGTACCGTTGGCATATGGCTTTTTTCAGAGTTTGGAATTGTTGCCTTTAGCTGCTATCATGATGGAGACTCATGAAAATGTTCGTTATTATCCACTTAGAAATAAGACCAGCTCCTTTGATCCTGCTAGTTTGATCATGATTATTCCATTTTAACTAATGCATGGTGTTTATAAATGTGTTTCAGTAGATTGTTTACTTACAAGGGAAATTTCTGGTGTTTTCCCCTAATCTACAAAAGGAAAGAGGAATGCAGGTTGAATAGTTTTCCTTTGTCTCCTGTTGAGTGTATACATGAAACTGTTGAGTGTATACATGCAACAGAAGGGTATTTTTTTTTTACATTTTTATTCTACAATGAAAACAATAAATGATATTGGTTATTCAACTCTTTTTGTGCACTGATTTCTCAAAAACATTAGCACATGTTCACGGGAGATGTTTAAAGAAGTGTCTCCAGCATCATTAGGATACAAGTTGGTATTTACTACGAGAATCAGCTTCTTTTCACTGTAAACCTGTCAGTCATTCCACTGATCACCGTCTAAGGTGTGCAAAACTACAGATAGCCTGGCTGTGGTCAGGGCCTTATTCTTGACTTACAGCAAAACACACATATTACTTTCATTTAACAACTGCACGAAAGAGAAAGACCTTTAGGTCTTTCTCCTTTGGAAAAACAAGTGGCAAATGATTGGAATTGATTAAAAATATAGTTTATTTTAAGCACCCTTAACTTCGTACCTGCCTATCACTGAATTGGTTACTTTTTCTTATTGTCCTTCTACTTTTCCTCTTCAGTTTCGTGGCTAATTTTCATGCTTGCCTCTGAACTTCTAACAACTCTGTCCTTTCTCTTCGTGGTCACATGAATGAAGACTGCTCCTTCCCAGCGCCTCAATTCCTTGACACGCTAGTCCCCTGCACCTGAAGTGGATTGATAACTTCCCAAAACAGAGTGGTCAGAGTCATGCCTAGGCTGTTTCTATTTTTCGTCTTAAGAAAAGAAAATCTGGGGTTTTGGAGTTGGAAAGGAACAATTTGGAAGCAAGCCTCCGTAGCTATCTACCTACCGCCAATCAGTTGAGAGAGGCTGAAGGAGGCGAACAAGTGAATAGAGCTTCATTTCCCAGTTCTGGAAGAGTTCTGATGTTGTCCCCAGCACCCTTCCAAGATAAATCGTTTTCATACCTTAGTTTGAACTGCAGAGGTGTCATCTGTCAAGGTAGACAGAGCTCTTGACACAGGATTTCTTACATCCATGTGTGTTGTTCTAAAGTGCAGACCATTATCTCTTAAATAGTCTAACTTCCTGTACATATATCTTTATTTAAACAAACTTAGGGCTAGCAACTTCCTGATATGAAACATGTCGTTTACATTATTGACTACTCAAACCAAGAATTAGCAGCATTCTAAGTCTTAGAAGTGTGCCACACAAAACTACTGCTCCAAACTGGAAATATGTCTACAAACTCACTTGGACCCTGGTATCAACTTGCATTATTATGTTTTTTTTTTAATTCCTGCCTACTTTTCAAATCAAATGCATTGGTCTATTCCATCCCCTGGAAGTCTGATTTTGCAGCTCCTGGCTTTCCTCCAAAAGCCTTTCGTTGCTGCACAAGCCATCCTGGTTTTCAATTCATCCTTCTTTATCCACTGTGTAAACTCGGTGGACCTGAATGGTTAGGCAAACTGAAAGCATTTGGTTGTTATTAGGGTAAGGATAGCCGGCTCACACATGTAAAACATTAAAGAAACCTTACAAATGTTTGAGTAATTTTTTTTTCTGTTGTTGTTGTTTGGAGCTGTGGGGCATTTAACCACATCCTGCCATGCACACAAGCTCGAAGATTCTCTCATTACCAGGTAGAGTGTAGGCTAATAAAAAGAAAAAAGAAAAAAAAAAAAAAACAAAACCAAGGACAGTATTTTTCTTTTCTTTTCCCAGCCTTTTATTGCCTTTATTTAAATGTAACATAATATACACTGTTCAGCCTTTTGGGGGTTGGGTAGAAGGAAGGAGTGATTCTCTATCAAGGAACCTTAGTGCCAACACTGGCAGCCCACATGGCCTTGTGTCTGTGACTGACACGCTCTAGCGTGGTGGACCAGTGCCCACACTTCCCACCGAGGCACAGCTCCCAAAATCGTGATACTTTTTTTTTTTTTCTTTAACACACAACATTCAGGACTGAACTTCATTTCTTTCAGTAGTTGTAAAAGGGACTGCTATTATCAAACAAAGACGCGGTATTTTTTTTTTTTTTAATGAGGAAAAATCCTCGCTCCTTATTGAATTGTTTCTGTATTTATCTCTGTTAACTTGTATACAGAGAACGGTGTAGCGTGGGGAAGGGGGGAAAGATGTTTTCTATTTTTGGACTTTGCAAGCTTTGATACATTTTGCTAGAAGCTGTTTAATGTCTTGAGTACTATAATGATGACTGTTTACACGTAGTCTCTTTAGTAATCTAAATGGCAATGTGAAATAAGAATCCAACGTCTGCCCTATTTGCTGTTACTCTGGTCATTGAATACTATAGTTTGTCTCCCCAAACATTTAATTTTGGTTGTGGGTGGTCTGTGTTCATGTGTCAGGTATAATTATTATTTTAAAATAAAAGAAAAAGAGAGACACCTAGTTTTTCTAGGAATGCATTACATTAGAGCTCTCAGACCCAGTTACCAATTAAATGTTAACATACAGAATCCAACCACAAAAAAAGCATACATTTTTAAAATCCCATTTGTCACAAAACAAGCTGAATGAAAAATACCATGAAATGCAGCAATACCCATAAACATAAGCACTGTGACTCTGTGCACTTCTCTTGAACTAACGCTTTACAAAGAAATCACAAAGTATAACTTTTGTGGAATTAGATCATTCTCAACAAAGTGGATTTTTAAATAACTGATTAGCTTTTAACTCAATATTTTAAGTAATTGATTTGCACTGGCAAAAGGTCCACAAATCACCAGCCGTTGTAGAGGTTAAATTATTAGTAAAAAGAATGCTTGCTTAGTCTTTTGTTTGTACCAAAATACTGTATCCAGACAATAAAAAATGAACAGATCTTCCCAAAACAAGAAATAAGAAGATAAAACTGCAGCATCAATATAGACTTAGAATTATCCTTTAAAATATTTAGAACAGCCGGGTGGTGGTGGCGCACGCCTTTAATCCCAGCACTTGGGAGGCAGAGGCAGGCAGATCTCTGTGAGTTCGAGACCAGCCTGGTCTACAAGAGCTAGTTCCAGGACAGGCTCCAAAACCACAGAGAAACCCTGTCTCGAAAAACCAAAAAATAAAAAATATTTAGAACAAATAATGTTTTTTACATGTTTAAATCATTACAGACACTGCAAATAAGGCTTATGTGTTTATTTAGTGAAATACAAAGTGACAGTGAGTTGTACACTTACGTACTGCTTTCTATACCTGCTCTAAGAAAATGAATTTTGATGTGGTTATATTATGGAATCTTCTAGAACACTTTAAATGTACAGAAAACAAGCTTTATTTGGTTTTGTAAAGACTAGATCATACAGCTTGAACAGGTTTCAGTATATGGTTACACATATACCAGGATATATTTGCTCAGTTTTAGCCCCTGGGAGAGTTGTACGTCATACCAAATTGCTTTTTGGTTCCTTTTGGGGAGAAGCATTCTGTGGGATTTAGATAACCTTTCCGTCATTTGTGACTGTGACCTATAGTGAACCATCATCAGAAAAAAACAAAAAAAGAAAACAAAAAGCAAACAAACAAAAAAACAAGGTTAGGCTAAACTCTAATAATTCATTTCCTTTGCTTTAGTATACTTATGGAGATAAAATAAGGCAATGAAAGAGAATTCGCTTGGCCTTATATGTTTTTAAGTAAGGAAGCCTCAGAACTGACACGTGTTGGCAAATGATGACACATATCTATTCCTCAAGCTACAGCAGAACTCTGCTATAGTCATCACTGATGGTTCTTACTGCAGAAGTGTAAATGAAGTCAACTGATAGCACATAGGGCCCTTGTGCTGCTCCCTTGATCTCATCTCCTGTTTCTGAAGTGTTTACCAAGTTCTTAAAACACTTTGTCATGGTCATGCATAGGACGCCAAAATTAAAAAAAAAAATGAGAAGGCAAATCAGAGGGCAGCGCTGAGGATACTCTTTAAAACCCCAAAAGATATTTAACATCCTATTAAATAAATAACTTAGAAAGAAATAGTAAAGGATGAAGGCAGAATGCACAAGCATACCATACTATTTGTATTGTTAGAACAGTTTCACACTAATATGCTTATATTTGTAAATCTGATCCAATTCTTCCCTGGTGCCACACCCAAAGCTCCTTTGGTTGTGCACATTGATATGACCCAAGTGCTTTCCAGTAAATGCTTGCGTGTCTTCCTGCTCATTGATTCATCAGGCTTGAATGAGCAATGAAAGTCTTTGATATGTGTTCATATTCCATAAATAACTTTCCCAAAGATCATTCGACGGATTGTTCCATGTCCTTTAAGTTCTATCTCCGAAGTCCAAAAGCAAAAACTTAAACAAACAAACAAACAAACAAAACCCAGCCCACAGTGTTGTTCACTTGGGGATAACTTCCATTCCATTTGATTTGCCTCTACCTTGGGTATAAGGCATGACACAGAGCTAATGAAAAGAACTTCATATGTCAGCAGTGAGTACCAAAGACTCCAAAGCCTTCCTTCCTTTAAGCAGGTTGAACTCTGTGATATGCCTTTGCCTTTTACTCTACAGTCTTCTGTGAGGATACCAACTCTAACTCTTCCTGGTCAAAGAGTCTTTGGTTGTATTGCATCCACCAATGGTGCCTTCTTCTATGAGTGGACCACCATTGGGAGGAAATGAGCAGAGGTGTTTTTCCTTCGTGTTTTTTGTCCTCTCCTGGGAGCTCCTTTTCCATTCAATGCTACATACATTTGCCTGCCATTGTGCTGCCAGTTAAAGGATGCATAGGTGTTGTATCCATTTTCCTCTATCCTCTCTTTCAGCTTACAGTCGTTGTTAAATTCTTTCTGCAAAGAAAAAACAGTTATTTATTGGTATGGTGTTGATACTTGACTTCATGGGATATAAACCATGTAATGAGTTACAGAGAATAGTCCTGTTTATAGCTGCCATTTTTACATAATGCTCACTTCTTATAAAATGTCAACAACAGAAGAGTCAAAATTTCTAACAACAAAACAGATTCTGTGTGTGAAAACACATGACTCATCTTTGATTAATAACCACAGAACCACAGCCACATTTTCTGGCCCTTTAATAAAATGATGTGCTTTGACTATAGCATGGTTTAAGTGCCCAGAATGGTTATCAGAAAGTAGATACCACATCAACAATATTTATGAGGACAGTATTATAGTATTGTCTTTGCTAGTGTTCAATGTAGGACCTATGGGAAAAACAGAATCTCCAGAGATTTGGGCTTATCACATTTACAAACATTATCTATAAAGGTCAACCCCAAAAATATTTTAAAGCTAAGATATAGAAAATGCTTTCTTTGGGGATTGGGAATGTGGCTCGCCTAGCAGAGTTCTTACACAGAATGCATGAGACCCTGGCTAGTACTCCATATACTAGACATGGTGGCCTATAACTATAATCCAAACACTAAGCATATAGAGCCAAGTGGATCAGAAGTAAAGCTACACAATGAGTTTCAGGCCAGTCTTAGCTATGCGAGATGCCTTGTTTTGCCATGTCAACATAATTATGAACATAGTAATTGAAAATGCATTCAGATGCTCTCACTGGGATATCCATCTATGCCTACATTATTTTTACATTGTACCAAGGAAGTGTCCACGTGGCTTTAGGGAGTTTTAATGGGTCAAGATTTTTTTCTCATCTGCTTCCCAAATTCAGTGTCTTATTCTGAAATTATTAACAGACATGAAAATCTAAAGAAATATCCCTGTGCTCTTGATACAAAATAGAGTAATAAAGAAACTAATGACAAATAGTTTTTGGGTTCTAATCCCTTCATGTACCATAAAGGTATTGTGGGCACATTTTGATGGAGGCTTCAATTGCGTAATTTATTTCACCTCAGGAATTTTTGTGTTTTCTAATTTTTGAAGAATTTATTAACTTTAAAATGTATGTATAGTTATGTGAACCTGTATTAGTTTGAGTATACTATATTCCAGCCAGAACCCACTTGGGTCAAATGAGGGCATCTGGTCTCCTGAAACTTGGGTTTGTGAACCACCAGGTGGGTGCTGGTAACTGAACCCTGGTCCTCTGCAAAATCAGGAAGCAGTCTTATCACGGAGCCATTGATCCAGGCCCCAAGTTAAAAATTATGGTTTATAAATTTTCATGTTTTAGTGGTATAGGTAATAATTCAGAACATAATAATGACACATTGCATATTTACATTGATATTATTCATTTATTTTTCTGTTTCCTGGAATTAAGTAGTAGCATGTGTTTCTCATCTGTAAATGTAAAATTCACATGGTGATAGGATTGAAATGAAAAAAAATTATCAAAGATAATTCTTACAATAAATGAAAAAGTATTCACTAGAAAATTAAATATTTTATGAACTTATTTAATTTTTATACTTATCCATCTGTCTAAAATATGGATTTCAAGCAAATGGATGCTTTTGCACTTATTAAAAGGGTATGCAATTTAAAGAGTCAGGCACAAGGCCAATAACACAGTTCAGTGCTTAAGACTCTTGCCTTGAAGACTAAATGACCTGAGTTCCATCCCCAGGAACCATACGGTGGAAAGAGAGAACCAACTCTTTCAAGTTGTCCTTTGACCTCTACACAGGGCATTGGGGTATGTACCTGCCCTCTCATGCACACAGATACACAGAGACTAAACAAATGTAACAACTCTACTCAAAGGAAGACCGGGACTCTTTCCGGTAATTTCATTTGGAGATGCTTATTTTTTTTTTCTTGCCATAATGAATTTTAAGAAAACGTTTTTTTTTTAAAAAAAGAAGTGTGCCTTGATATTTTTTTTTAAATGAGTGTGTCTGAGTCAGCCTTTTCATCCCAGATATTTTGACCTTTGGGATGTAAGTATGATGTGCCATAGCTATATTCTCTGAAGGATGGCCTAGACATTCATGAGACACAGGCAAAGCATGACTACTAATGTTTAAGAAAAATAGTTTGTACTAATTCATTTCTCCCTGCTGGCTAGCCTTCACACTGAAAGGTATGATGCAGGCTGATGAGGAAAACCTATTAGTAGTCTCCTAGGTCTGTGAACCTTGTGAATTGTAGTAATGACTGGTGTGACAAGAAATGCCGTGGTACAAATATTATGGGAATAACCACCACTTTCTGATTAGATATAAAGCCCAACTCACAGTAGAAAACGCATGCCCTGTGCTATAAATCTGGCCAAGAATTCATGGTTGGGGGTTTACAGGCCACAGGAATGAACCTACTACTACCATTTTGCTAAATAGAGAGTATCAGACTGCCCCCCCTAAATCTAAAATCCCTAAAGACAGATCTCTTGACTGGCAGGTTGGCACACCTTTTAGAATTCTGGGATTCCTGAAGGCAGGATTGCCATTTTGGATTGAGGTCAAGGTAAGAGTCAGTAGTTGTGTGCTTTGCTTTTTCGGATCTTCAGGTTGAACCCAATTTCTCTTTCTGAGTTTTTATTAATTGTGCACAGAAAAGGATAAAGAGGTAAAAGTATATCTTGATAAAGATAGGGGAAGGATCTGATGACGAATATGCTAAAAATACATTGTATGAAATTCTTAAAGAATTAATAAATATATTTTAAAAGAAGTAGCCTGAGTGTTTTTCTCTCTACTTTTTGCATGCCTGGCAACTGAGGAGGTTAGCAGAATATTATATTCACTGAAACAGGAGTTACCTAAGGTTGTGAGCCATCACTTGGGTCCTCTGCAAGAGCAGCAACTTCTCTTAAATGCTGACCTATCATCTCTCCTTGCCTATGACATAATGTTTTTAAAAGAAAACTTATAAGCAGATTTATTTTGTTTGGTGGTGGTGGTGGTGGTGGTGGTGGTGGTGATGATGGTGATTTTTTTTTATTTCTTTGTTTCTTTTTCTTTCTTTTTTAAATGTCTGTATGTGTGTATATATGTACATATTGGGTCACACATGTGGAAGCCAGAAGACAACTTGTGGGAGTCAACTCTCTCCTATCAGTTGAGTTCTGGAGATTGAGCCCAGGTTGTCAGATTTGCTGGACTATCTGGCAGGTCCTCAAACATGTTTAATGGGGAAAAAAAGCAAAAACAATATTTTTGCAAAAGTGGTACAAATTTACAGCCCTAAATGGAGCTATTTTAAAAAATGTTCTGTTGCTTTTTAGGCTCCTTTTAGAATAATATGCGATGAAGAAATTGAATTAAAATTCCTGTAGACCTCATACTTCACGTATTCATTCTGGTATGACTGGCTTGTCACTTAACAGTAGACCTGATATGAATAAAAGACCAAACTAGGCCATTTCTAGACTTCTGCTTCTCAATTCTCAGAATTGAACCAGAAGCATGGGCAGTGCTTGGCTCCACGTTGAATGTGTAAATTCCTGGACCTTATCTTAGACTCTGAATCAGAGAGTCTAGGCCTGCCTTGGCTGCATTATTATGTCTTTTAACAATGCCTCACATTGATTTTGAGGCTTACTTAGGTATAAGAACCACCAACAACACTTATGTTAATCAAAAAAGTGAATTTAAAGTTAAATTCTTTTCAATGCTGTGAAAAATGTAAAAGTGCACACTATCTGGCTAGAAATACATGAGATTATTTAAAATAACTGTGTCAAATACTTTATCTTGGCCCATTGATATTATATATATATCCTCAAAAAATGTAATTAAAATTTTATATAGCTATATTCCATATTCTCTTCTAGAGTGGAATTCAGAAAAATTTAAAATCATTTAGTATTTTTTTGGTAGAGTTTTAGGATTAAGACTACGAAACATAATCCATCATCATCACCTGTCCTTCTTGTGCTATCCTTCAAATGGCAATTAAGTCTTCACATAATATCTGTAATATTCATGCATAGTTAGAATTAATGACTATTTCCTAGGTAAGTGCAATTCTAGGGTTCATTGAATAACTTGGAAAAAATCATGAGTCTCTTAATATGTTTCTCCATTTATGATTTTAACAAGACCACGGAACATCTGTGCCCTAGTTTTTTCTTCAGCTGTGGCAGACACTCATAGTATATGAGGTTCCATTCCACCCAAGGTTTTTGATTTAAGCAATTCTTCTCCAAGTTGTCTCCAGTCCCCACGCTAATTCGTTCACTTGAGAGAAAGTCTTATTGACTTGCAGTTCTGCACATTCACAAATGCCAGTAATAGACTCATGGGCCAAGAACTATGGGATTATTGAGCTGAACAAGATGCTTTGCTGGCCTGTGAGATGCTGGTGACCCAGCCCCTCTCACTGTGAATCTGGTTATTAATGATGGAATGACCACAAGGACATTCATTATCTCCTCCTGGAAACCATTCAAGTCTCTGGTGCTAACTTAGTGAAATGTGTTTTGAAAACGAAAGCCAGCTACTTACTGAGCCATAGAGTTTCCCCTTCTTGTTCATGGCTAAGTAATAGTTGCTGTTAATGGCTTTGACGGCAACAACTCCGATTTCCACTGATGTTATCTCTAGGATACCTAAAACACATAATTACAGAGGCAAGCTGTAAAGAGTCATCTGTGCTTAGGTGGGAGAAGGTAAAACAACCAAAAACAAATGAAAAGGTACATTTTGTAGTATTGCAAAGCAAAAGGCAAATAGTGGGGTAGCCAAACTGAGCCAAAACTGTGTTGGTGTGGACAATTGTCTGTATTTTGTCAATTATGTTTTAAATAAATGCTGATTGGCCGTAACCAGGCAGGAAGTATAGGCAGGACAACCAGACAGGAAGTAGAGGTGGGTCAATGAGAACAGGAGAATTCTGGGAAGAAGACACAGTACTAGCCCAGGCACAGAAGAAGCAAGATGTGACAGCCTCGATGAAAAAGGTACTGAGCCATGTGGCTAACATATACTAGAATAATATACTAGAATAATAGGCTAATATAAGTTATAAGAGTTAATAAGAAGCCTAAGCTAATGCGCCAATCAGTTTACAACTAATGTAGACCTCTGTGTGATTTCTTTGGGACTTAATGACTGCGGGAACAGGGCAGGACAGAAAACTCAGACAACACTGTGTGAATAGATTGAAAACCCCAGTGAATACAGGAAGCCAGTAGTAAGACTTTGGGAGGTTTCCTTTTCGTTTTCACTCTGAGCATATACAGGCAAATGTTGTTTTAATTAAAATGCTTCCTTTGCAACCTCTGCATCTTCAACCCCATAAATATTGAAACTCCTCTACTCATCTTAGCCTAGATTTCACAAAAACTTATCAGAGCCCACATCTGTACTGTGGTATTAAATTAAATCCACAGCATATGTCAGTGATATGTCAGACTTACCTCAATCTGTAAAAACAATGGCAAACTATTTTTTTTGTAGCACATTTAGATAAACTAAATCCCTTGGCTGCGTTTAACTGATAAATTCATTTTTGACCAATGTGTTGACGTGCTGAGGCATAGGGAGACTTGCCTCAGCATCTGTCCAACCTTACCATACAGATACAATGCTCCACATTAAGGGCTTTTTCTCTGTTTTGAGAAAGAAAGGGAAGCAGAGGGAAGCAGTGATTAACAAACAAGGGCATTTCCTCCAGGAACAGGTGTTTGGTTTGGTTTATGTAAAGATGATATCCTCAGAAAAGTTTGTAAGCAGGTGTGGGAAAAGCATTTGATATAGAATGCAAAAAGCCCAGCCATTTCCACCCAAGACTACCTCAAACGAAAACTCATTTGATTATTTTTAACAGAGCTTGCTCAGGCTGGATGAACAGCACAGTGAGGAGAATGTGGTATCGGGAGTTAGGATCTATGTACTTGACTCCCAGCTCAGCATCTGTAGGAAAATGACCCCAGAAGATATTAAACCATTCTATGTCTCCCTGTCATTTGAAAATTGGGCAACATAACAATATTTCTCTCAGAATCTTGCTGTGAAGGCAAACAAGATTATATGCACAAAGTTATTAGTATCTGCCTAAAGGTCAAAACTCTAGTTATTATGAGAGGCATTTTTCCCCTGAATTTTTAAACTTCTTCAAGAGACTACGGAACTTTTCCATAGATCAGACAAACTCCCCATTGTCTTAGCCAGTTGATGTGGAAGGAAATCATAATTACCATGCATTGTCTATCACCTAAGATGACAAACAACATCTTCAATGAGTATATAAAGTGTGTTCTCAGATTTTGTCCCCTCTAAGGGACATGAATGGTTTCTCTCCTATTCTTTCCCAGCTTAGTCTGCCCAGAAGCTGGTAGTAATGCCAGACTTTTCTGACAGCAGAGCTGACATAAAAAGAGACTTCCACTAGATAACATGAAGCAAAACCTCTATCGATGTGTCAAGGAAATATTTGATTTCACACAGCATAATCTTCACTAACATGGCATCTCACTGTGCTTGCTAACACAAACCAAGGACATCTAGGAGGTCTGTTTGGGGCAAGGCTTATGCCATCAGTATGTCTTACTCTATGCTGGTTACTGCCCTTGGGGCATGCACCCACATATTCATTTGCTTATTTAAAAAAGTATTCTCTTGCAGTTTGTTTAAGTTTTGTAACTGTTCCCCAAGGAGGTATTGTCATTCTTCTTGTCAATTGTAGATTAGACTATGGAAGATAAAGTTATATAGCTCGCACACAGGTGATTTTTAGGTCCATCACGATGGTTATATACACCCAGTCCCAGGGCATTCACACTTCCTTTCCCCCACCTCTGAATATCTTCATTTCTCCATCTTTCCCTTTCCGAGAGGGGGATTCTGTAGGAACCAGTTAGCAATATGATTCTTTAGAAACTCTTACTAAATGACACCATGCTATCGTCACAACGATGTAGGTGTGCCACAATGGGAAAACTTCCAAGTTTCAGAGGGTGAATAAAGTTAATCACCTTTGTGACAAGGAAAAGATACCAACTAGACAGGAAGTAATATTCTGGTGGCATTTGAGCTGATGTGCCTGCAGAAATAAAGTGTACAGTATCAGTAAACTGTGGGATCGGCCACATGTATCTCTACTCAGACAGGAAATTGATAGAAAAGGGGGGCAGGAAGAATGTTTTAACAAATAATAAAGCAAAATTTTGTGATGGAGAAAAGTAGGGGGAGCCTTAGTAATGAGACAAAGACAAGGGAACAACATGATATGAATATCGCCAAATCCTTGGCTAGTTATTTCGGAGAATTTGTGGCATACACCAGGTTTACTAAGACACATTTAAATTCCTTGAGTTTTACCACAAATTAGAACTCAGTATTTAAAGGATTGATCAAGCATCTTTTTTTTACTTTACAGCTAGTTTGAGTAAGAATGCAAAATATTTACTTTTAAGCATTTTTTTCAATTAAGGGTCATCACATGATGCTCTACCATGAATGTGTACTGCTCGGGGTTTGTATCAGAATAAGTCTGCCTATCTCTACAAAAGAGGTCTACTATACTTTTAAGATAGGAAAAGAAAAAACTTAGGTTATTTAATACCCCTTAGAGTTCTAAAAATAAGCTTTGGTTGTAGTACAGATCACTAAATCATAATCATAATCATAATCATAATTTGGAAGCTTTGTAGGTCATAGGCAAGTGCTGGACTTATTTATTGCAAACATCATTGAATATGGATACTTCTGTGTGAGGAACCAAGCCTGCAGGGCATCCCTGCTTCTTCATATGTAATTTCTGCAGTGTTTAGTATGTGCTGAAAATTATCAGGTTTTCTTATTCAAATTATTTTTGAAAGGAAACTCCAGAACTTTTTTGTGGTTCATTAGATCAATAGCTATATGTGTCCACTTTGACATAAAATGCAATGCCAGTTGGAAGACATGGTGCTAAAGAATGAGTAAAGAGTATATGGCATCTCTCTGCATTTCTTGCATCTTGTATAATGCTATAATTATCTCAAAAATTAAATGTTGCTAAAAAGCTTGTGAAAGCTAACGTGATGATTCAGTGGTAAAGACATCTACTGTCAAGTCTGGGGACAATTGTAATATAATTTTAATCAATATGTTGAACTATAACATGGTCAGGATAATGGTATTAGAATTTAAACTTTTAAAGTTAAATCTCTCCGTTTCCCACATGAGTTGTAGAGTCCTCAACTGATCTATTGTATGCTAACATGGGAAAACATCTTGGGTAGCCATCACTTTTAAACTATATATATCAGGGCTTAGGTAATCCCACTCAGTATTGTGAGACACTCTGCATGGCTATGCACTTCATTTCCTAAGAATTCCTATTTTGGGTCTCATATCTTTTATAATTCATCTTCTTTAAGGAATCATAATAACCACAGTTGTGCTTATTATATACACTTGATACATAGTCATTGAACAGCAAAAAAAAAAAAAAGAATCAATGACTGTGCAAAGCAAAATTGGGCATTTCTGAAATCTCTAATTTTTGTTTGTTTTTGATCACAGTTATGCTTGTGAAATCATGCATTAATATTTTCATTAAAATGAATATAAAAGTAAGGAAAACAAAATAAAGAAATGTTAATGAATTATAAGATGAATTTGATATCAGTTATAGGTAAATTATTATAAATGTGAAAGTTTTTGTTGCTTTTAAGTAATCTTCAACTATTGGTTAATATAAGTAGAGAAGTTTTGAAATGATATTGAAAGGTTATTTTTAATGTAGGAGCCTTGATTTATGCAATATTGATTTTGAGACAACAGAAGATAACAGGATAACATATCTAACTGTATTTATTCACTGAACCATCTCTCCAGCTCCTTTAAATTCAATAAAAACAGTAATGTAGCAAGATAAGGCTGTAATAAAGGATCCTCTTGTGTCATCTACTTTTATATATAATGGAAATTTCCGATTAATCTAACAAGATATATCAGACTTAAACATGTCTTTTACATACAAAAATAGTCTTGGAGAAATTACTTATTATAAGTTAGTGGACATTTATTATTTTGCGTATCATTGATTTGATGCTTGGACTCAAAGTTTCTCTGTTCTTTCTATATTGTTGGGCTTTACTAATAAAACTTTTATTTAGTAATATACCAAAGCCTTAGGTAGAATTACAAGAGTGAGGTATATATGTATGTTGACATTCGTGGCTAAATTAACAGAGAGACTTGAACTAACTTGTTTTTCCCCAACATGTGATGCTGTCTGCTGTATTGTTGCCACAAGAAGGGTTTACCAGATGTCCAGAACTTGATGATGAACTTTTGCTCATCTGGAACAGTGAGTTCAACAAACCTGTATTCTTTACGTGGTATGCAGTTGCGTTTGTTTTAGAGTTGAGCTCAGTTTGCTTCTTTCCTTACTGTGACTATCAGAACATCTGAAGTCCTTATCCAGTGTTGCTTTCTTTCTACTTGTTTTTATTTTCCTTTTGATAATCACATGATATTAAAATGTCTCAGAGACTATAGAGTAAAAAAATTACCAAAAAATGGATGTTACATGTCAACAAAATATTCCATACAAAAAAAAGAAGATCAAAAAGGATTACTAAAGGAGATCTACTTAAGGAGAGAAGCAAGGTATGTT